GGAATGTCTCTTTTTACAGCTTTTCCTGTCTTGTAGTACAGAATTTAAACCTGCCTGAAAAATATTTAGATCAAAGTTTGGGGCATTAGTGACACTTCTTATTGTTTTACTGGAGGAAGAAAAAGTAAAATGGAGAATGATACAATGAAGCTTCTATAAATCAGCCCTAGAGAAAGTAGCCATTTGCCCCTGATGTGCTCTTTAATCACATTCATCGGTACACGTTTAAATTACTTTTTATTTTAGGCTGGGCGGGGAGCGTCGGACGAGGAGAGAATCGCGCCAAGAAAGCGACCCAGAGGATGATGATGTTAAAAAGGTATTTAGACCTTATAATTCTACTCAGGCCATATATGGCTTCACTGTTGCCACTAAGCAGGTGTTAGAAATGAGTCCGCTCCCCAGCTTATTTTACCTACTCTGACATCAACCATTCCTTCCATGGCGCACCACTTTTCTGAGTGGTTCAGTGATCCACTGTAATGGTCACCTGTGCTCGTATAGTGCTAATTATTAAGGGTTTTATTAGGGAGTTAATAAATTTTACTACAAGCCAAAATCAGAAAACATTAAAGATACAGTTTGGTCCACAGCAACACCTGGTCCCATGCAACAGCCAGATATCTGTAGTCCTCATTCTCTCCACCACATGGGCCCTTCACCTCTCCCTGTGTTCCAGGAAGGCAGCATGCTCTCAATCTCAGTGCTGCTCCTTCTGTCTTATGATCTCCTTGTCTTGGCTTTTGTGCCTCAGCCTCTGGTGCCTTTAGTCCTGGCCTCTGCCACTTCAGACAGATCTCCAACATGCTCCAGTGGTGACGACTCCTTGGTGGTCCTGAGGTTTCTCTCTGTTACTGGTTCTGTGATGGCGTATCCTTGTAACCAAGGGAGTGGCAATAAAACTAACCAATCCCCTATTTGCATAGCCCCTCTCAGTTATTGGGTGGAAGTTGCAGAGACCTGGCCAGAAGAGCCATATTAATCACCTTTTGCTGCACCACACCTATGTGCCCAAAGTCCAGGGTGCAAAGATACTTTTTATACTGATGTTTACTGCAGTGTTTGTTTATGCTAGCCAAAGGAGGAAAATAACTCAAATGCCATTCAACAGATGATTGAATATGTGAAATATAGTATATGCATCTAATGGAGTATTATGCAGTCATAGAAATGATGATCTGATACATGCAGCTACATGGATAAGACTTGAATGTTTAATATGCTCTTGCTTAAATTAATTATCAAGAATAGGCAAATGCATATAGAACAAAGTTTATTTAGTGATAACCAGGAGAGAGTAGAAGAGGAAGGAGAAATTAACTGCTTTAGGATCATGGGTTTCTGTTAAAAGTGATGGAACATTTTGGATAGATGTGATGGTAGCACAATACTGAGAATGTAGTATCACTGGCTATCCTTAGAAAAAATGATTAAAATAGTGAATGTTGCATTTACATATGTGCATTTTTTATTAGTAATATTGAGATAAAGAGTGAATGTAATATTTTCACATTTTATTGGAGTGGCACTTATGCTTATTGAATTAACCGAAGTTTTCTTTTCTCCTACAGCCAGCGTTGCAGTCTTCAGTTGTAGCTACCTCCAAAGAGCGAACACGCAGAGACCTTATCCAGGATCAAAATATGGATGAAAAGGGAAAGCAAAGGTATCTTTAGTACTCTCCTGAGAGGGAAAATTTCTGTCAGATTACATTTGCTACGCTATTACAAATGTGTACATTGTCTGTATTTGGGCAAATACTGGGTTTTGATTGACCTTTTTCTGTCTAGGAATCGACGGATATTTGGCTTGTTGATGGGCACACTTCAGAAATTTAAACAAGAATCCACTGTTGCCAATGAAAAGGTATTTATGGAACTTTGCTTTGCCTATTTGTTTTATAAGTGGACAATTGCTAGCTTAAAATAAAGCCGAGAGAACTTACAAGACATTGTGAAGTTGTTAAATTTACTGGTCTGTCTTTTAAGAGTTTGTGAAGTGATTACACCATCTTATAATGGAAAAATGCATGTGTGCCCAGTTTTGTATCTGGAACCCGGGCTATGAATGTGATTTTGGATAAGTCCCTTCATATCTTTAGGTCTTGAGTTCTTCCAAAAATGGAAGTTGATCTTGATCCTTGTAGCGAGTTCTGCGATTCTGTTTTATACTTATAATACACACAAAGGTAGTAGTCCTTTAACAAAAGCACAGATGTTCCTTACTTACCAGTTTATTTAACCCTAACATCTTTTTTTTTCTTAAATCATTTTATTGGTGGCTTGTACACCTAACAACTTTTTTAATGTTTTTCCTATAAGAGCTAAAAAAAAAAAAATCTTAGCTGTACAGTTGAACCACAAATTTCTTCTTAAAGGAGAACTAGAGTAGAGTGGGAGTGTGAAATGAATGAGGAATTCATTCATTCAGCTGGTAAAATTTTTTTTGATACTTTTTTTTTTTTTTT